ATTTGGCCTGGGAGCCGCCCCGCCGCCAGCGCAGCCAGATCTCTGCGGCCCGGGCAGCGCTGGAGGCAAGCGGGGATGTAGCTCAGTGGTAGAGCGCATGCTTTGCATGTATGAGGCCCCGGGTTCAATCCCCGGCATCTCCACTTTTGTCTCCTCTCTCTTTTCCCTGGATGCACCAACATCCTCGATGTTAATGTGCGCGGCGGAGGCGGCGACTGCTCTTCTTAAAGAAGATCCGGTGCAGGAAAAGCCTCGTGGAGGCTGCAGTCACAGAAGGGATCGAAACTCGTGGCAGAGGCAGGATCTTTTATTAGATATTTGCAACCCCCCCACCCCAAAACAGGCTTGATTTGCAAGGCTGCCACACAGAAGGCTGTTGCCTGGAGGACAGCCGTGTCCCATCTGACACGAGGTGCTGCGGTTACTCTGCATTGCACCCAGCCCCAAGTTCCTACTTGTTTTGCAAATAAACCTGGAAAGAAGATCCCTAAAGAAGGTCCCGGACACAAGGGGATTTACTAAACCCGGAAAGAAGATCCCTGCCCTGAGGGGGGATTACTGCAGCTATTTTGGGCCGTGACGGGGGTGATAGGGCCTGGGAGCCGGGCTCTGCAGTGCGAGGGGCTGTGCACGGACCGGCGCGCTCCTCTTGCACACTATTGCAACCCCGTGAAGCCCTGAGTCGATGCCCGCAGCTGGCGCGGCCCCACACATCGATCACCCGCACAGCCATTACACTCTGCACAAGGCACCGGGGGCACCGAGTCTTTCACCCCCGGGTAACTTCCTTGCCCTCCCCTTAACTGCCCCAGAAGCAGCCTTGGAAAGGCCAGTTTCACAACTGCTCTGGCTGTCAAGGCTTTTCGTAGCAGCCTTGAAGCCGTGATCAGCCTTGGGAGACGGTTTTGGAGATGCCACTGCCACGGCCCTGACTCGGTGAGCGCTGTTTGCGCTCAGTCTGGACGTGCACGCTCGGGGAAGGGCAGAGCCTTGTTTCAGGCCCCAGGCGATGCCCGTCCACGGGGTGCCCCGCACAAGCGAGAGGCAGGAGACGACGAGGGAGTGTGACAGGTCTCGTCCCTAACGTCTCGGGATCGCAGCAAAGGAGAGAGGGATTTGTGAGCATGCTACCGAGGGAAACAGCGAGGTGCCTCTGCGGGCGTTTAAGGGGAGCACAGCCTAGCTCAGGAAAGCCTTCCCATCCAGCAGAGCATTTCAAACCATGCTGGAGAGGCCTGTGTGTGCAGGACTCAGGCCAGAGGCTGGAATTTGCCCCCGCTGGTGTGGGCCAGGCCATTTACACAGACGAACAACACAGATGCAGGGTGTAAAACTTAGCTAAGTTTCCAATCTGCCTGTGCCCCAAAGCTTGCAAATCAAGCCTTTTTTTTCCAAATATCGAAACTTTCCTATTCATGCAGCTTGCTGTGTGATTTGTAGATGGGTTATTTTTAAATCAAACAGCGATAGGCTCACCACCACCCTTCACTTCCACGCTGGCCGACACTCTGTAGACTGGAGCTGCTATCCACGTCCAGTGACGAGGAGCGCCCACAATGCGGCCCCCTGCCTTGCAATCCCAGCCCTAGTTCGATCCAAAACCGAGGGACCTTTGCTTCGGCGACCAGCTGGAAGTTTGGCTGCTTTGAAGTATAATGCAGAGTAAGTTGTAATAAGAGCAGAGCACTTTGAGACCAGGGAAGTCCCCGTGGCTCTGTAAAGTCGGCGTGCATTGTTTGCACACAGCGATCAGCTTTGCTCGGGCCAACCTGCCAGCTGTTGCTGGGCCTTGGCTCTGCGGCCCTCTGTTATCTGCGGCCCTGCTTAGGCAGCTGCTTCCTTTGTGGGCTGCCAGGGAAGGGTTTGGGATGCATGCTGTCCTCCGAGCAGCCCCAGCGCCGCCTGGCCTGGTGCTCATTCGGGCTGGCAGCTCCGCCTGGAGGATTTCATAGGTTGCACAGACGTTAGGGCTGGAAGGGACCTTGTGAGATCAGCAGATCCAGCCCCTGCCCAAGGGGCAGGAAGTCAGCTGGGGCCCAAGGATCCCAGCAAGATCAGCATCCAAGTGTTTCTTGACGGTGTCGGGAGTAGGTGCTCTCACCGCCGGGGGGGGGAGTCTCCTCCAGACTCTGGACACTCGGAGGGTAAAGAAATGTTTCCGTGTGTCCTGTCTAAAATGCTCCTCCAGCGCTTTGTGACCCCCCGCCTCGTCTTCCCTCGGGGTGCCCTGGGGAGCAGGCGGCCTCCCTCATCCTGATGCTTCCCGACGCTTCCATAGTAACCTGGGGCCAAGTCCAGCCAGCTCCTTCAGCCCCAGCAAAGGGATCTCCTGGGATCCTTTGGCTCTCAGAGGAATCTGCGACCCATCCGCTCTGACAGACGGATCGTCTGTGATCCTTTGGCTCCAACAAAGGAACCCAGCTGGGTCCTTTGGCTCGAACAGGGGATCTAATAAAGGAATAAAGTGGGGTCCTTTGGCTCCAACAAAGGGATCCAGTGGGGTCCTTTGCATTTAAATGGCAACTGTTTGGATCTAATACAAGAATGTAGGGGGGCCACTCAGCTGTAACAGGGATCTACCTGGGATTTCTCTGGATCTAACCAAAGGACCCACTGCGCTGTGATCCTTTGGCTGTAACAAAGGAATTTGTGAGTCACTGGCTCTGGCAGAGGGATCTGCTGCGAACCTTTGTTCCCAGCAGAAGAATCTAGCTGGCTCCTTTGGCTTTGACCAGGATCCTTTGGCTCGATCTAGCGGGGACCCTTGGGATCTGGCGAGCTCTGACAAAGCGATCGCCTGGTGCCCACCGGGAGGGGGCGGGGCACTCCCACCCACCCGCCAGCAATGGGTTCGGGTCTGCCCGTATCCTTCCGCGCGCGCCGCGCCGCGCCGCGCCGCGCCCCGCCCCGCCCCCTCCACTAGCGTCGGAGTAGCGTCTAGATAGTCCCGGCGGAGGGATCTCGGAGGAGGCGGTTCTATAAAAGGTACGGCCGTGTCGTATATCGCATTCAGTTCCGCTTGGGCGCCGTCTTGGTAGGGGCTAGGCAGCTGTGTTCGCGGTAAGCACCGGGGGGAGGGGCCGGGCCGGGCCGGGCCGGGGAAAGCCAGGATGGCGAAACGGGGTGGTGGGGACCGGGGGAGCCGCGATGAGGCGGTGTCGGTAGCGGTGGCGGCGCTGTGGTGTCTGGAAGGCCTGAGGCATAGCCGTGAGCGCACCAAGATGGCGGCCGGTGGGACTGGGGCTGCTGCGCTGGCCCCTCCCCCTAGGGTGACGCGGGCGCCTAGTGGCTGTGATGTCGCTACGAGGGGCGGAGCGGCCTGAGCCCGCGGCCCCATCCGGCCCTGCGCTGGTCTCCCGCGCTCCGGGGTCATGGGTAGGGGGAAGGCGCCGTGAAAACGTGCAGGGGTGCTAAAGAGTGTCCTTGTGTCTCGTCTTCCGCAGGTAAAGATGCAGATCTTTGTAAAGACCCTGACGGGCAAGACCATCACCCTCGAGGTGGAGCCCAGTGACACCATTGAGAACGTGAAGGCCAAGATCCAAAACAAAACCCCCCTCCCCCCCCACCCCCCGACGCTCATCTTTGCTGGCAAGCAGCTGGAAGATGGCCGCACCCTGTCTGACTACAACATCCAGAAGGAGTCCACCCTGCATCTGGTGCTGCGCCTGAGGGGTGGTAACTGAACTAGCTATATTCTGCTGGCATCCATGTGATAATTTCACTGCACTTCATCCCAATAAAGCTGTTGCATTCACTAAGTTGATGTCTCTTTAAATTACACTAGTAAGCAAATGCTTAGCTGTAGTTCATATTCATCTAGTGTGGCAAACGTTATAGCTGACAAACGGAATTGCTGTCCGTCTTAGTATGTTACCTTTGCTGCAAGGGCTGTGCATGTTGAATAGGTGATTAAGGTCTAAAATGTCAAGTTTCCCTTAATTCTTGTTTGTATGCAAACCTGGCATTAGACTAATCTTAATTAAGCTTTAACATTAAGCTTTATACTGCTCTAGTAGCCAGTTCCTAGTTAAGGTAAATTAATAGCTTAGACAAACCCCAGAGAAAATGAGTGACTAATGGATGGAAGATGCAATGTATGTGGATTAGTGGCCAGATAATAGTTTCTGTGGGCTGATGAGTTGAAAGTATTTGAGGACTTCAATATCAATATCTTCATGGGAGATGGAAGGCAAAAAAATTAAGATTCCCTGTAAACTTGTTCATGCAGCAGTACAAAATAACTGCAATACATCTGCTTAAGAGATCTCTATGGGGGAATAAATTGTGGAACACTACAGGTATTCTAAAAGTTTAGCGTAAACATGCGTCACCTTTTAAGACTTCTCAGGCAAATTAAGCTGCTTTTGAGCTGAAGGCTCGTGGGTGTTTGTATGGCAACACTACTTCCTGCCAGAGTTTTTGCACATGCTTTCTATTTAAGCGACTTCCAGATTTGCTGTATAGCACTTGTGATCACAACTAAAGAATTCCATAAACAGCATGATACTATGGCTGGGTTATCTGAAACAAGTAATTCAGATAGCATTTCTGATTACCTTTATGTACTAAAGACAAGGTTAGCATGATATAATTAGAACAGTAGGCTAATACAGATCAAGTCAAATCTCTTGGGGTGGCTTTTTTTTTTCCTTCCTGTTGCACTATAAGGTCTATGCTTTTAAAACTTGTCTTGTAATCAGTCAGTAAATTAACCTATTCTTACAGTTAGGATTTAATGATTCCAACTTCTCACTACCAAGGGAAGGAAGTCAAATGAACTAAATTTTAATAGAAAACTTGCTGGAATAGCTGCCAATCACAAGGGTGCACATCAGCTCTGCTACAGGAGAAACCTAGCTAGAGGGATTGGATTGGCTCAGCAGTACCAGGTAGGCATTGCAGTCTAGTGCATCACTGGGTCTCAAGTCTGTACTTGATAGACTGCACTTGAAACTGGGCAGTTTCTATATGAAAGATGAGAATCCTTGTCTGTGGGTTGTTAGTTCCAGCATCAGTCACCAGAAAGATTTTGGAAAGGGGGGGGGGGGG